GCTGAATGCGTTACCTTAATAAAAACTCAATCAAAATCGGTAACGTATGAAAATGACGAATTAGATAACTTAAAATCAGAACTTAGGGACATAAAAGATACATTATTGAGCCTTTAAAGTCCAATCTGCTGAAACAAACTAAAATAGGAACAACCCAAACAAAGAAACACACCATCGTTCAAGATCTACATACAGAAGAAACATTTCCCCTCATCACAGATATGACAGGTCAGCTGAAAAATATAGGCCCAGAAGCGCTTCTCGAAACTCACAAAATTTATCGAGAAGCTCTTCGCCTTACAACCCACAACAATCCAACAGACACCCTACCCCTAGAACCAGATTAGATTACAGGTCACCACACAGATCACAAAACACTACATTCTTTTGTCACATATGTAACAAAAACAATCAGGCCACAGAAACTTGTTGGTACAATGCTAGAGCTAACCACAGGAATTCTAAATACTCAAATACCCCTTCCAAATTTTGCTCATATTTGTGGGGTCTTGACTGGAATTAACCCAGCTAGATCCACATTTAATGAATATCGTGCTGATTCCACTACCCAATAGCACTCACAAAAAACCCTGCTCAGCATAAGCCAGCTTTGATAGGTCTCTAATAAATAGATTAACTACATTTTATTCAACTCTAACTACTCCTCGCCATTGTGAAACGCCTGCAGCAACTTGCCCTAGAACATGATATCGATAACTGTAAAGTTTAATTTAGTTACTTGAATTAATTTATTGTTGGTTGATCTTGGTCTAATTTAGAAAAAGATATGATTCCCCTTACCCCCTTTATCCCCCAAAAGATTACAACTAATTAGACATTATCGGTACTTTACCAACTGTTGACCAAGGATCAGGACCTCCTTCTTCTTCGGCGACGGATCCAAGACAAACCTGCTTGCCGGCGGTTGGTCTTTTCCGGTTGGAGTGCTAGTCTCGGTCCGACTAGAGCTGTCTGCCTGCCTTTGGATCAGCCGATGGGGTTGACTCTTACCTCAATATATATAATTATTGGCGGTGATGTGGGTTACTCCCACATATTGCAAAAGAAATAACCACACCATTAACCAGTGCTTTAGGTGTCCGGCTAAAAGAGAACAGTTTCAAAAAAACTTCTAAAGCAGGGAAGTCAAGTAACACCAAATAGATATTTGGCTTCCCAAAATAAACAGATACACACAAGATATTTCTGGAACACAACCAAACGTATACCTCATTTCAACAATTCATCAATCTTAAAAACCATACAATAATTCATTCAAATTTTAATATATTTTCACCATTTAGTCCTCTATATCAATACAACTTTCCAACAATTGATGATTCGTTTAGTGTAAAATATAAAGATAAAGTAACCCCAATGACATAATCATTTCTTCTAAGAACCACAGTAACATCAAGACATTTTCAACACACTCAACTCAAGAACCAGGTCAGCACCATTTCTACAGTGTCTGCAGAACCTAAGACGACCATGCAATCAGCTGATAAAGAGGATAACGCACCTCAACAAACGCCTACGTCACAAGCGTCGACTCGCTGCTGCCTAGGAACACCGACTCAGCAACTGACGTCATGGCACCGCACAGCTGATCAGCCCAAGACTCTACTTGCCACATCTGTTACCTCTTCACGTACGACCTTCAACATCGGATAACAGCTACAGCTTGAGTACAACTACATCACTTCCAGGAACCTCTATGGATAGCACGTGGATTCATCAACTGTAGGAGTTTGTTTAACCGCTAGTGAAGCAACAACCCTCCAGAATCAAATCGACAAAGAAGTTTTCCAACAAAGTTCTAAGCACTTAAATTTGAGAACCCTAATTAAATGTGATAAGAGACAATCTAATTGCACACTATCGGATATTTATGACTTAATTTTTAATGTTAAACAAACAAACAAAACCATTCCCTACATTAACACTAAATATTAAAATACTAGAAAATGGACAACTTATTCAGCTACTTTAGATACTGGTTGCAACGATTGCCTTATAAAATCATCAATTGTAAATAACCTATCCTTTCAAACAGATAACTTACCATTAATTGTAGCAGCAAACGATCAACCAGTAAAAGTCTTAGGCCCAGCGCACATGGTGTGACTGTTTTACAACAACTGTTGCAAACCAGTTGCGTCTGGAACCAGTTTGCAACTGAAACAAAACTTCTGTCCGCACACGGTGTGACTGTTTTACAACTACAGTTGCGTCTATTGTGCAATCAGTGGAGTGCAAATTTAGTGCAGTTACGATGTTTTAAGGCCTTAGGTGCGCTTACTACGTCGGACTCAGACGAAGAAGACGTTATTAGCTATTATCAATACCGAAGACAGCGAAGGGTACTGAGAGAGCATTGGGTTCACCTTTATTTGAGCAAGAATGTTAGTACTAGGCTGTTTGTAGCAGCTAGAGCTAGTCGGATAGGAAATTATAAACACTAATAACACTATACGGCCGTCAAAATACCACCAAACACCACAAAACACCCCGTGGTCTCGTGCAACTGAAGTCTGCAACGCAACTGCAACGTCGGGCCCACGGTTGCATGCAACTGGTTTCAAATGTTTTTTGAAATTGCATACAACCAGTTGCGTCGTGTGCGCTTCCCCACTGCAATACATTGCCGAGGTCACAAAACAGTTGCACTCGCAACTAGTTTGCAACGAAAGTTGTAAAACAGTCACACCGTGTGCGCTGGGCCTTAGGAAAACTATTACTACCAACAACAATTAATGGCACTGTGTATGCAACCGACTTTTATGTAATTGAAGATTTAGCAACTAACGTAATCTTGGGAAATTGGTTTTTTATTCCAAAACTGCATGGAATTGGATTTTAAGAAACAGGAAATCAGGCTAACGAATAAAGATAAAGTTCATTGTATCACAATGGACAAATCTTGGTTACTAAATTTAAAACCGTTCGTTCTAAACACACTAACAGAATCTAGAGAGTAGGTGAAAGGTTGAAAGAAACACAAGACTGCTAAGGTGTGACTCAACTTGTAATAAAACAAAATAAATTTAGAAAAACAAAAGTTACAAAGGGTGACAACGCCATATAAGGACTTTGAAAAAACAAAGAAGAACTAGAACATAGTAAGAAAAAATACAACGTAAATTTACGAGAAAAGAAAATTAATAGAAAATTAAAAGATTGAGTTACTAACAAATTATATGACTTGTTTGTTGTACATCTTTAAAAAACATAGTAATATTTATTTGTTTACATACTGCTAATTGTCCCAGAAGCACACACACTCCGAAACTCCGATCTTCTTACTCCTGTCGCCCGAGACGATCTCCCTGATTTTTTTTGAGGTCCTCCAGCTCCGAGACTCCTCATCCCTCCTTCTTCTTCAATAGCCCTTCTCATTGGCTGTTACCAATAGGGTGTGTGGCTGTTGTGGGTGTGTGGGGGTTATAGCTGTTTCTTGGAAGTTAGCCCTACCGGTCATCGCCTAGCTGACGTCAGCTGGGAAAGGAATGAGTGTCTGCGTAGATGAGCACCCTGGGTACAGGGTTAATCCCCTTTCTTACAGCACTTTAACCAATTTATACACTTCAGCTCTGAGGAGGTTTGCATAAAATTTAATTTTATGAGATAATGGTAGATTGAAGTCAAGTTAAAAACTTATTCATCTACTTATCGGTTTTATGTTTAGTAGGGTAAATGTTGTTAGCATAATGTATCCAGATCCAATCAATACATTAGGCTCCTCTATGCTGTCAAGAATATGTTCTAGGCTGAGTGATAAGAAATTTGCCATCAAATATATTTATGGCATGAAATAGCTTTTTTTAGGATTTAATAAACTAAGGTTTCCATCGACCTCCTGTCACGGCCAAGCAATTTACCTGCAATTTACAGTCACCAATGCAGTAATCTTAACTCCACGCACTTCTATCCTTGCTGGTTCCCATCCCTCTGCGAAGATAAGTCTTGTCATAGTAATTGAAAATTACGCGAAGAAAGTCTACGCTCCTGCCAAGTTTTAATCAGGTGATCAAATTTCTATTGTCTGAGGCGTAAACCACTATTGTAGTCCATCGTCGTTGATGGACGTAACTGGAGTAAAGTGATTGAATATAGTAAATATCTTAAGTGGTGTGTAGAGGTGGTTGTAAGCATTTTTACAATGTTAATGATGTTTTTCATGGTGTTAGTTGTGAAAAACAAAAGGCTGCTGACTTTTGTCAGTCTCGTTTGAGACAGTGACCAAAGCTAGGGGAGTTTGCATGTGAATTATAAGGTCACTCGATGAGCGATGGTTAAACTGATAGTGCTCATCAAGACTAAAAAGACAATGATGAACCTTGATAGTCTTAAAAATGTCAATCACCAATTAGGGTTTCCCCAACTTTAGTTACTGTATTAATGGAAACTAATGAATACCTGCTGCCGGCCTCATTGAACAAATCTGTTAGGTCTTTTGCAAAATCTCTTTAAGCCACTTATGAATTTTTTTTACTTTAATTTTTTTAACTTTTACAATAGGAGTTGACCCCCTTCCCACAAAATCTAATCACAGAATATGATTTACTTGGCAGAAACATCTATTTTCTCTCGCTCTCATATTTGGATACTATGACAAAACTGATTTTAACGTACGGGAAGAAACTAGCTGGAATAAGTAGTTAATGATGTGTTAATTAAAGAGCATGGCGCTGATGTAAGATTTGAACTAGTTCGCTTTTCAGTGATGGGACGTTGATGGAAACCTTAATTTATAGACATTTGATTGTATATTTTAGTTTGGTCATTCTTTTTTTTATCAGTATAGACTTAGTAAACTTAATGATTTCTTGGTAAAATTAAAAAAAATTCTTAGTAATATATTTAATCTTACCTGTAATACAATGCTGAAATCCTCATTTAAAAGAGAAATGACTCAGCTACTTGTAATATTTGTTATTAAAAGATAGAAAAGTAAAAGCTTTTTACTTAAAAAACTTGTATAATTTATAATGTTACAGGTAAGACTTCAGACAATGCCAAGGCCAACTAATGGGCAGCTCCCATTATACACAGGAACTTGGGATTGTGCCGTGAAGACTGTTAAGCGAGAAGGATTTAAGGGATTTTATAAAGGTAATTTATTTAACTATTTAATTAAAATTAAGAATGACTATCGTGTAGTAACATATAAGTTTTTCTCAAACAGTTTACTGTAGTACCTATAACAATTTCTTTTTCAATTTATGTTCTTTACTTTATTACTTTCCCAATACAGAAAAGTGCCCATTTAAGCATTTTTTCATCTACTTCAAAGTTAACCATAGCAGTTATTACGTAAAAAGATATCAAATCAATTTGTGTTGTCTTCCTGCTGTAATTTAATCTATCATTAAAAGTGAATTTTACTCTCATGTTTAGCTTCTGGGTCTATCTTACCATCATTACTCATTGAATGTTGTTGTTGGTCTCACTTTTACTTGTCCAAGATCAACCAGTGCAATGATGACTCTTGCATCGAATCTCAGCTTAATTCCACATTTGTGAAATATGTAATATTTTAGGTTTTCTTTAAAATGTTACTACTCTTTTAAGGTAAGTGATATAAAAAAAAAAAAAAAACTGTTGAGGATGGTCTGAGCGCTATAAAGGCTCCCAGTTAAAGTTCCACCAGTCATCAAAGGCTTCTTGCCAAATGTTTGCTGTCCAATTTAAGCAAAACCAATTAAAAAAAGTGTGATTTCAAGACCTTATATAGGCTATTTGTTTGGATGGAAATTGTTCCTACAGAAACTATAAAATAGTTTTATGACAAAATTTCGGGTAGAGAGACAAAATTAGATTTCAATACCGCGGTTTCGTGAAATATTGTGTAATAGTTGTCTCACCTAAAATTTGTCCTGATAACCTAGCCTACAATGAGATTGTCCAGGATTCTAACGTGTTCGTTAATTAATAATTGTCGTTTTGAGTTTATTGGCTCAGAATAATAATTAAAACAATGCTAACAATGTTTAGCTTACCTTTAAATGGATGCATCATAGCCACTCAAAAAATATTTGAAGATATTTTCAAATAGTCTAATAGTTTCTGCTATATCTTATGAGTTGTTAAATTTCCTCATTGAATAGGAAAATAACAAAAAATTATTGTTCAGTGCCATTTGACAATCCTTAGTGATATTCTGAAACAAACTGTTAAATGTAATTTCAGGAATGGCAGCTCCTATTGCCGGAGTGGCCCCAATTTTTGCAATTAGTTTTTTTGGCTTTGGAGTTGGGAAGCGATTACAACAATCAAAAGAAAATGAAACTTTGACTAAACCTCAACTGTTTTATGCTGGTGCATTTTCTGGAATCTTCACTACCGTCATAATGGCTCCTGGGGAGAGAATCAAGTGTTTGCTACAGGTAATTCATTTTACATAGTATTTTTATATTATTTTGTTTTGCTGATAATAATATAAATAATCTACACAAACATAAGGGTGAGAAAATGTGTGGATATCTTATCCTTTTGAAAGATAGGTCTAAGACAAGAAATTTGCTATAACTAGTAATCCGAGTGGTTCTAATACTTCTCTTCAAACCCAAAGGTTGGTCTGCTTTAATCCTGAGATGGACTAATACTAGATTCATTTGCCATTTACTCATTTGAATATTCTAATAATAGGTAGACATTAGACTAAAACAAACCAGCATTTGGATGGTTCACTAACAGAACCATAAAAAATGCCAGTGAAATATTAGTAAATAAAATAAAATAAACAAAGTCAACATTAGCAAAGCTAGGAAGGCACTATGTCCTATCTAAATTATTCTGCTGCCTCTAAAAAGAAAGGATTTCAGTGACTGAAAACATTCGTTGAAATTGACAAATCATAGAACTGCCTTTGGCCAAATTATCCTTACAAGTTAGTACTTGAGAGTTGTGATTAAAGGAACATTTCTTCCTCGTAGGTACAGCAAGATTCATCAGGCCCAAAAAAGTACAGTGGGCCTCGTGATGTCGTCAGAAAACTTTACAAAGAAGGAGGCATTCGCAGCATCTACAAGGGAACTGTAGCAACATTGCTTAGAGGTTAGTTGTTAGTGAATCACAGAATCAATGTTCCCAAGAATGCTGGGGCTGCTAAATCATTGCCTAATGATGATCTATTTGTTCATTCTTATTAGTTTAAATAGGTTTCAAAGTAAACAAAATTTGTACATGCCTGAAAGTTGTTAGTTTATCTAGAGACAGTGGCGGACTTACCGTAAGGTGCACTAGGCACGTGCCTAGTGTTGCCCACGCCACCCCATTTTTAGTCTAAAAACTAATTTTTATAAAACGAAAGAATACTTTTACTGCATTTATATCGGTAGAAGCTTTGTATACTTGAACGCGCACCATCCTAGACGTCCCTGCGTACCACCATTTGGGAACCGCTGCCATAGGGATTGTGAATATTTGTATGCTTTTTCATAAACTGAAGTAAGAATACCTCTGCTCTGTCATCATAGTTAATAAAATCTACTACTGAATAATTCAGTACTTTTGTTTATATAAACTTCTCTCCTCTTTAAATCCAGTAATTCTTTCCAGGCAATGTATCCTGCGATTGTTAGTATCTCACATTGGATTTTGGTTTTGATCTCTTCGCTGTTTTACTTAATTATACGAACCATCATCAACTACTCAGTGATAATTTCATTTTTATTTTTTAAAGTATTACAAGAGAAAAATTAACTGTTCCTTTTTTGCAATAGGCCTATAACCTTTTTTACAATATTACAGGTGAATGATTGTACTCTGAAATTTAAATATTTTATTTTAAAGTATATGTTTTCATATTTACAATACCTACATACAGTGACTTGTGTATTCTTGGCGAGTGGCATTATTGAGACTTCAATAATAAATCCTTCAATGTGTTAAACTAGAGAACATTTTGCATTAGCCAACACAGGAAATTTATTCTACAGATTATTATTAGATACATAATACTTATATTGAGAAATCTTCATAGTTCTACGCTATACAACCCAATTTTTACCTCAATCAAACAAATCATGTCTGGATAAAATGTGTTCAGAACCCTTGAGGTGTGTACAAAATACAAGTAGCCTAAATTGATAAGTTTCAATAACCTTATACTTATGATACTCTCATATATAATAATAAAAATATAATGCTTCACTGTGTGGAAACTGCTGTAGTAGGTACAACTTCTAACAATAATTCAATTTCTGTTTGGATTCTGTTTTCAATTTAGATACTTAAAATGTGTTTTTATATACTCCTAACGGATAAGATTTTTCATCCAGTCATTGATGATTATAAATCGTGGTTACAAAACAATCTCTGACACAAAAAAAAAAATATTTACTTAAATAATCTTCAAAATGTGGCACATTGTTTTTTCCCCAAAAATACATGGTACACTTGAATCGCATAAATTAAAAATCTTACTCCTAGTCCATAGTTGTAGCCTTATTTTTTACAGTCTTTATTTCTACTCCTCCTAGTCCTATTGTTATTATTATTTACAAACAGGCACCAATTTAAAACATCCTCACCTAAATACAAGACATACCTAGAAAATGAGTTGTGAGTTTGATATAAATAATTTCAAGAATACATTTCATTGGTAAGTACTTAGGATTTGAGTAAATACAATTTACTAATACAGGACAGTAGGAAGATTTAATGTTTTCTCATATCAGAAAAATCAAACTCACACAATTACTATGATACCCAATGTGAAGGTCAAACATGGAAAATTAATTTACATAAATGTTTAAGATTTTTTTGTGTAAAATACACCTTGTAAAAGTTTGAGGTAGCTCCATAAATAATGAACAATCCTTCCATGTATATTTGAAATTTAAAATTAAGATACTATTATTATTTTGTTTTATAGACATCACATCATTAACAATGATAACTGTCTAGTCATGATATGGCAAGAGAATTCATGAGTCATTCAAGATAATATGATTGACTCGGGCTTGATTATACTAAGTGAGTAACATTATCTATTGCTAAGCCCTTAATAGTTACACTGATTTATTTTGAGTTTCATCCCTGAATTGCCGAGGTCAATCACTTGTTTCACTGAAATTTTTTTATCTAGACATTTAAACATTGAAGGACCTTATAAAATATAGAATTAATTTATTGCTGTGATTTTTTGGGATAAATTTATTCATATCACTCATGTTAAATTTATTTAACTAATCTATTTCATTCATCCATTAAACAACACTCTAAGCAAAAGATTCTTTTGTTTTCTGTAAATGCTCTGAACATTATAATAAAAGTTTGTTCTAAAACATTAAAATATTTTCTTCATCAATTAAGGCAAGTCAGTTTCACTTTTGGGAACTTCATTTAAGTTTTCCATTGTATTTCTCATCTTCTGTTCCCACTTTTTCCGTATGTCAGACCTTTTCTTTGTTTTGGATAATGGATCAATGTGAATTTTAACATTGTCTTGAGTGTCTGTCTTCTTTGTTGCTGTAACAAATTTGAATTTGCTTTCCAACATTTTCTCCTTTTTTAGGAGTAGTTTGTATTTTTCCCTGTTCCTATCTGTCCACATATGCTGGTTGTCTGGTGTATCTATTATTAATCCTGTTTTCTTTTTACCAATGTTGATGTCTTTCGTTTTATTGAGACCAATATTGGTGTCTTGACCCTCAATCACATATCTTAAAGTAGATACTGATGGTTGTTCAGTGTTTGATTTTGTTCCTGTGCCATTCGTTTTGTTTGAATCACTTACACTAGGGAGCGTTGTAGGGTGTTCATTTACAGTAACTTCACTTTCTATTTTAGGGTGTTCTGATGTATGGTTGTGGCTAATTTTATGATTTATTCTGTTGACTTTTACTGGTTTGCTCTTGAGAGCTTTCTGTTTGTATATCAACTTGTCACATCTTAGATGTTTACGCAGCAGGTGAAACACACTCCAGTTGTTATATCTTGTAGGGGTAGCACATCTTGGGGTCACGCTTTGTTCATAAACATATTGATACATGTGATGAATACTACACATGCTTCCCTTGTCATACCGGGACTGACATAGCGAATTATCAGTGATCTTCACCTTCATTTTGTTGATTTGGGACGGTTCCCATTCATTCATCAAGCAGGTGCAGTGCCACGGGTTTTTATCTAATCGAATCAGTTTTGCCTTTGTATAAATGAATATTCCTGCTGGTAGAGTTGTCAACTTGTTATTGTGCAAGTTGATTTCTTTCAGAGAACGTTGATGGTCGAATAACGAGGGCGGCAAGGTTTGCAGCTCGTTGTGGGATAGGTCCAAAAATATTAGCTCGTAAAGACCGTAAAAAGCATCCATTGATATTTTGCGAATTGAACAGTTTTTGATGATGAGCTCTTGAAGTTTGGGAACCTCTGCAAAGGCATCAAAAGATAACTCATGAATCGTTCCCTCCAACCTAATCTCTTTCAAGTGAGGCATTCCTTTCAAGTATTCCCTTTCAAGAACTCCCAGTTGTATTCCATTTATACTCATTTTTTGTAATTTATTGAAACCTATAAATGAGTTTGGCCTGATTTCCAGTTTAGCCTTTTTGCCTCCAAGGTATAGTTGTTGTGTGTTGTTCATCACTTGGAATGTGTAAGGAAGTATGGTTTCTAGAGGGTTGTGATGAAAGTCAGCCGTAACAAGTGCTGGTAGAGGAGGAATAGAGAACTCTGTTAGGTGGGAAATGTTGTTGTATGAGAGGTCCAGTGTTTCCAGGTTGAGAAGACCAGCGAGACTCAAGCTTTGGAGATCCAACAACTTGTTGTGAGATATCACTAGATGTTTCAGGTTTGGGGTTCCATAAAATGCAAACTCATCTATAAACGGAATCTTGTTCCCTTCCAATGATAAGTATTGTAGTTTCTGCAGACCTTCAAACATTTCCCAGTTGACCTCTTTGATGCCACAGTGGAAGGCCCTGAGGAACACCAAGCCGTTGAGGTTTGCGAACGAAGACAGCCCCGCTCGTTCTTGTTGCTCTCGGTAAACACGGTAGGGAACAATATCCGAATCCCTCTCTTGTGGGACCAGCTGGATGGCTTCAGGCACTATGTTGTTGTCCTCCCCTTGTGACGTTAGTCCGTAGGTCTCTAGGTATTGTGTCCGAGATACTGGCGCAGGTCTGTTCCCATAACTTCTATCTCCCAGAAGATGTACGTGTTGCAGATTGAGGTACTGCAGGAGACTTAATTTCTTGAGTGCTTTGTTTCGTAGTTTCACATGACCAAGTGTGTGTGGAGATCCGTGTATTTCAAGAACCACCAGACTGTGCAGGTTTTCAAAGTATGACTCGTCCAAAGTAATGTTTTCAATACTGAGTCCATGAAGTAATGTTAGCACCTGAATCGATTTAAATATACAATGAAAATTTCATAGAAAACCAATAGGAATATATTACACTAAAAAATACTAATAGCTAAGTACTCCCTAGATACCTAAAGCTGTTTTGCATTTTACCTAAGAATTTCATGAATACACTTGATCGTAAATATTGTAAAAAACATTTTACTGAATATTTTACAGATATTTTTACCAGAGCCTTTTTTTTATCATTAGACACTGTAAGCACAAGTTTTTAGCAGAAACTTCTTTAAGACTACGCATAACATTTTCAATAATGGTGATAAACCTGAAGAGGGGTTATTCTTAGAAGAACATAGCCTTAATTGTATTTCAGTTGGTATCATTTACTCAGACTGTATGGGGTGTTACTGTTATTGCATGGTTTACTTGACATGAAATAGAGATTATTACCCGTTTGAAAGATATATTAGCACTCAGCCAAGTTTAAATTTTGTCTTTATTTGTATATCTGAGTCACTTTTAGTCCCAAATTATATTAAAATCCATGTATTAGCTTCTGAGCTGTAACGTAACTAAAAATAGGCTTTACCTTCGTCAATACAGCTCAAATGGTGTAACATGGAATATTCCCATTCCATTCAATACACGCTCACGAAAGAGCTAAAGAAACACAACGTTGAATTGGCTTTTAGAACGAACAACAAAACAATTAACAAATTGAATGTTTAAGGTTACGTAGGTGATAAAGGTGAAATGAGGTGAGTCAGATGTTTATAAAATTAACTGTGCAAGTTGCCCAAGCTTCTATATAGGAAAGACTGGACTCCATTCAAAACCAGATACAAAGAGCACACTTTATTTCCTAGAGCCCTCAAATAAAAGACATCCTTTGCACAAAACTTGGTTGACAAAAATCACGACATGAGCGATATGAACACTGGCTTAAAAATACTCCACAAATGTAAGAAAGGCAATAGACTGGACGGACACCCTAGAAGAGTTAACCAAAGCTTACACCGAAAATAATTTGGACGATATATTTTTAAACAACAAACTACGGTACAATTCACACTTTATATTCAATAGCATTTTAAATCAGAAAAGGAACCTTAAGCCAGGAGAACAAAGTTGTACTGATAAACTGATAAAGCCACCACATCAGGCACGACACAGGTATCCTCCAGTCGGCGTCTTGCTCGGAACGGGATAATGTCAACCATTATAGTTTGTACGACAGACCTGATCGTTTTTGTAAATTTTGTAAATTTTATTTGTATTGTTCGTGTGTGTTATGTGTTTTGGCTTCCACGACGCTACTTCTGTCGAGGTTTTGTTGTCTGATGATGGCATTGATATGACGAAACGGTGGTAACCAACGCAGTTACACAATTTGAGCTGGATTGACGAAGATAAACCTATTTTCAGCTAAATTATATAGTAAGCAAACATGCTAATAATTTTCGCAAAGTTTGACCTACAAAAGTTCAAATTTTTTCCACGCTAGATTTATAGTTTGTATGATGGAACCCTCCTGATCCTACGTCTATCTGGCCTTAAACCATTGGCCAGTCACCTGGTAAGTAGATCAGGATACAGGTTCCATCATACAGGCATCATTTAAGAGCATTTGTTTCTGTTCGTCAATCATTGTTTACATTTATATTTTTTCCTGTTGTTATTAAACAACATAACTGTAATAAAGTGACTTACTGTTGCTGCATCTTTTTCAGTCAACTATTAAGGATCATTTAAGGACCACCCTCTCTCCTTCTTAAGCATGTACCTTAATTTAACTTAATATTAGATTTACTTTCCTGTTATTAAGTGTTGTTGTTTTTGTGTGCTAGTCGAGATTGATTTGCATTGTCTTTATCAACAAAGCTTACTATTTTAAGTTAAGTGTGGAATGAAACACAAAGCATGTATTTTGATAGTAATTTTAAAAAATTTGAAAATGTGGAGAATAAACCAAACAACCATTTCAAATTTAAAAGTTTTCTAATAAAATAACGTCTTCTACTGAGACATTATAACTTCAGTACCTGAGATTAAGTACCTGAGAACTTAAATACCTTAAGTAACCGAGACAAGTTTAAATTTACTATATAATGTTTTTAGGACTAAAATCTTGTGCATCTAAAATCTGCATCTACTATAAACTTACTCTTGTCGTATGACTTCATGGTAATCCAACTATTTGTTCATACCAGCGTTTGAATCATGAAATGATCTTTTTTTTTTAAAAAAAAGAGGTTGGCGGCCTCTTTCAACCTTGCATTTGCCCGTCCACATAGACTAAGCGCCCGTGCGTGGATCGTTAACAGCAAAGCAAGGAGTGAGCCGGTACAGTACAAAGGTGAACTGTACTGATAAAATGTTATCGGCAGTGACCAGGATCCGAACCCACGACATCGCTGCCTTGGGCCCGAAGTCCGCGACGCTACCGACTGAGCCACTGACTCACTAATAATCTTGAATTTTTGAGGGATAAAAATATAGACTACTAAAACTATTTAGAATCTCTTATTATTAATGTGATTAGCGCACAGTGAGAACTGCAAGAGCCATAATAAAAACAAAAAATAACCTCCACAAAAATTAAATACATTTCTTGTGTCTTATCATTATGGCTGGAAAAAATCCTAAAATAAATCATTTAGAGTAGTTGAGTCTATTTTATTTCTGGATTACTGTGTGTTTAATAGCATATGTTGAAAATTATTTTCACAGTCCTATACTTTGTTAACTCAAGAAAATATAACTGCTTTGTTATGATTACAATGATGCTAACCTGAGTTTGAGATGGTAGGGACAGAAGTAGATTCAGATTGTCCGATGACTGTAGAACACATGTTACTGCTCTCAGCTGTTCATCTCCGAAACTGTGTTCAGCCTCTTGCTCATTAGTTTCATCCAATACCTGTGTTTTAGAACCAGAGTTCACAATAGGTCTCAAAATATCAGAATGCCCCAAAAATATATATTTTTTATGAATTAAAATATTCAGTCTCTTTTTCTTTACACTGTTGACTTGTTTTAAGTAGGCCTTGGTGCAAGTAACTGTAATCTCATTTTTCCTCCTGTGTCCACAGCTGCCTAGAAAAATCTGCTTCTGAGGCGGTCTTGAGATTGAATGCTAGGGCATTGAACACTTTAGGTGCAAGATATAAGTAAAATGTTTTTAAAGCGATTAGATAAGAAACGGTTGGGGACTAGCTAGAATACTAGTTAGTTGGGAAAGTAAAGGACATGACACTTTGAACTAACTCACTTGGTTGGGAGTAGAGCTCATAGATAGAGATTTTAATTTACAGATAGCTATTGTACCATCAGCACAATTATGAACTAGACCTAGACTACAATTTTAGTTATACACCAGGGACGCGAATCCAAACTAAATGGGACCAGACTGTTTTTGTATTATTGAAATGGTTAGATTAGCTGGAATGCAGTAAAATAGCATAATAAAATGAAACATGGGATTCTTATGTCCTTTGAATGGCCATGTATTGCTCCTACGACCACAAAAGCACCGTGATTGTCTCTCGTGATCATGAAAATACCAAGATTGTCAACCGTGATCCAACAACATTGTGATCATTTCCTATCATGTTCTTCTTACTACTCGATGACCTTAAAGGAGAACCAACAGAACACCATTAAAGAATGGATGCTCAGCCTTAGGCAATTGGCTATTACAGTTGAACCTCTATAAGACGAATTTCAAGGGGTACGGGAAAAATTCGTACTATAGAGGTATTCTTAATAAAGAGGGTCGTTTTATCGAGGTTTAATGCTGCTGTTATTCTTCTTATAGAGGGTTCTCCTCGCTCCAAGGTTTCTCCAAACAATGACTGAGGAAGGAGGAGGAATGGATGGGGGTTTCATGTTAAGACAAGCTTCTGTTTGTTTTGAAAACTACGTACTATGGAGGTTAAGATTATGATAAATTCGTCTTATAGAGGTCACGTTCGTCTTGTAGAGGTTTTGTCCTAAGAATATTCGTTTTATAGAGGTTAATCAGTCCTAGCCCATGTCACAAACAAATTCGTCTTATGGAGGTTTTTAACTTAATTACTACGTTGTATAGAGGTGTTTTTAGCATTGACCTATATGAAAGTGTCAAGGGGATTAAAAAATATTCGTCTTATCGAGGAATTCGTTTTATCGAGGTTCGTACAAACGAGGTTCAACTGTATTACACATTTGTTGGTTCCATACAAAATTGATGTGCTATTCTTGATTTTAGTGCCAGCTAAATAATAAGGTTAATTATTTAATTCTCTAATTACACTATTAAAGAACATATAGTTTTGCTTTAGTTTGAATACAACACCCTTTTTCCCTAACAAGTGGTTAGGACTAGTGGGACTCTGGTGAACTTTTATTTTATTAGTTATATATTCAAAATCATTACCTCATTTTTGCTCTGTTGACTTGGTATGTGTTCGTGTGAGATATCTTTATGCTGTGCCTTGACAAGCACTGAGTTTATAGGTAGACTGGAGAAAACTGTAGTTTCACAGGTGCATACCTTAGGACAGTTACCATCTCTCACTGCACCTCCCACCTGTAACATACACAAAACTGTAGTGTCACATGTGCATACCTTAAGACAGTTACCATCTCTCACTGCACCTCCCACCTGTAACATACACAAAACTGTAGTATCACAGGTGCATACCTTAGGACAGTTACCATTTCTCACTGCACCTCCCACCTGTAACATACACAAAACTGTAGTGTCACAGGTGCATACCTTAGGACAGTTACCATCTCCACAGCACCTCCCACCTGTAACATACACAAAACTGTAGTATCACAGGTGCATACCTTAGGACAGTTACCATTTCTCACTGCACCTCCCACCTGTAACATACACAAAACTGTAGTGTCACAGGTGCATACCTTAGGACAGTTACCATCTCCACTGCACCTCCCACCTGTAACATACACAAAACTGTAGTGTCACAGGTGCATACCTTAGGACAGTTACCATCTCCACTGCACCTCCCACCTGTAACACACACAAAACTGTAGTGTCACAGGTGCATACCTTAGGACAGTTACCATCTCTCACTGCACCTCCCACCTGTAAAATACACAAAACTGTAGTGTCACAGGTGCATACCTTAGGACAGTTACCATTTCTCACTGCACCTCCCACCTGTAACATACACAAAACTGTAGTGTCACAGGTGCATACTTTAGGACAGTTACCATTTCTCACTGCACCTCCCACCTGTAACATACACAAAACTGTAGTATCACAGGTGCATACCTAGGGACAGTTACCATCTCCACTGCACCTCCCACCTGTAACATACACAAAACTGTAGTGTCACAGGTGCATACCTTAGGACAGTTACCATTTCTCACTGCACCTCCCACCTGTAACATACACAAAACTGTAGTATCACAGGTGCATACCTTAGGACATTTACCATTTCTCACTGCACCTCCCACCTGTAACATACACAAAACTGTAGTATCACAGGTGCATACCTTAGGACAGTTACCATTTCTCACTGCACCTCCCACCTGTAACATACACAAAACTGTAGTGTCACAGGTGCATACCTTAGGACAGTTACCATCTCCACTGCACCTCCCACCTGTAACATACACAAAACTGTAGTGTCACAGGTGCATACCTTAGGACAGTTACCATCTCCACTGCACCTCCCACCTGTAACATACACAAAACTGTAGTGTCACAGGTGCATACCTTAGGACAGTTACCATCTCTCACTGCACCTCCCACCTGTAACATACACAAAACTGTAGTGTCACAGGTGCATACTTTAGGACAGTTACCATTTCTCACTGCACCTCCCACCTGTAACATACACAAAACTGTAGTGTCACAGGTGCATACCTTAGGACAGTTACCATTTCTCACTGCACCTCCCACCTGTAACATACACAAAACTGTAGTGTCACAGGTGCATACCTTAAGACAGTTACCATCTCTCACTGCACCTCCCACCTGATACTACAAATTAATGTTTGTCATTATAGGACAGTTACCATTTCTCACTGCACCTCCCACCTGTAACATACACAAAACTGTAGTGTCACAGGTGCATACCTTAGGACAGTTACCATCTCCACTGCACCTCCCACCTGTAACATACACAAAACTGTAGTGTCACAGGTGCATACTTTAGGACAGTTACCATCTCTCACTGCACCTCCCACCTGTACATATACAGAAAACTACAATGATTCTACTGGTCATTTTTGTTTATTATGGGCACGTGCATACCTGAACACCACAACATAAGAAGGTCATGGTGGAGGTGTACCAGGCAGAGAGGTATATTGGGTATAATGCGTGAGGCTTCTAGGAAACAAATGAATTAACGTTATCTGCAAAGAGGCCTCTCTATGATTAGGTTTTTTTATATCACCCATCCCATATTTTCAGTAGTGCACAAAACTATATTTATATTTGGATCTTGAAGCAAATATCTGTCTCCAATGTCTATCTCTAATGTATATTCTCACATATTTGTAAATAATAGGGTTATTTTTACGAAAATTGTAAGCTATTAATATTACCAACACAAATATATGGTTTAAGTGTAAGTGTAGGGGAAGCAGGAAGTGATATGGAGATAGTGCTAATGACAGTTTGTGATAACCAGGCTCAGTTGATACTCAGTTTCCCTTTGAAAATGCTATGTTTTATTGTTTAAGTTTCCCATTAAATTTTTCTCAAAATCAAAACTAATTAAGACACACAATTTATCCTTGTTAGTCAGTTAGTCACAAATCTCTTACTTAATGTTATTACAGTAATGATCTTTAAAACCTGCTGGATATTCAAGCATTCTGAAATATCCCATTGAAGATTATACGATTTGTACATTACTTTGCACAAGGTTTACACTTTACACACAACACTTCCACATTCAAATTTCCAACTTCGTGATGTGTAGCAAACCTTAGATTTAGGGATCTACAGATTCTAGGTTTTTAAGAAACACATAGAAAATATAACATATAAATATATAAATGCAGCTTGTAACTCTACTTTTCTTGCCAAAATAGTTATATTTTATAACAATTGAAGAGAGATTCAATTTTGTAAGGTTAAGTCCTTATGGTTTAAACTGATTTTTCATAGGTCAAATCACTAACAACATTAATATTCAAGCTTGTATTTAAATAAGCTCTTATTTATTTAGTTGCAATTCATATCTACTCTCAACACATAATCATATTCTCAGTTTCAACTCCCTAGGGAGTATTCTGACATTTCCCCCTAAAAATATTCAATACATTTTTTAATCACTAAAATGTATTTTCTGTACGAAGCTACATAAAAAAATAGTACACACATTTTTTAAGGGTTTGATCTGAAAATAATCTTTATCTCTGTGATGAGGGACATATTACTTATCTTTATCTAATTGCAACAAAATGTGGTTAATTTCATTCACATTTAACTTACTTATATATTTTACAACCTTTTTTCAAGGTAAACTTGCTTAGAGCACCAATAGGAGCAATAATTATAAGTTAAATTATAATCTTCAGTATTAACTTATGCCCCATAAGGAAGACGTATTGTCAAGAGGTATTAGTATGTATTCTTTAATAAGTAACTTAACACTTGACTCTTTTAGCGAATTTCTCTATAGGGAAGTAGCTATTACCGTAGGTGGCACGGCAAGACCTAGGCCCGGGACAGATTTACTTTTTCTTTTTGATGTCCCCAGAGGCCAAAAACACCATTTGTTCAAATTTGTATTTGTGTATTAGTCTGTATATATATATATATAAAGTTTAAAATTTTGATAAAATTTGGATGAAAAGTGTAAAGCGGGATAAACTGGGTGAGTTCGCGAACCAGCATAATCGGACTATGGCAACGGGGTTTTATGGGGTAAAAAATTGTTTTTCTTATTTTTGACCCTCAAAACACAAAATTTCCCAATTTATCTCTAGACCTTTTTAAAGAACTTAAAAAAAAACATATAAATTAGTATATCAAAGTGTTTTTGTGCGGTTATTGGTAACGGAGAAAATAAAAAAATTGTAAATTTAAAATTCCCATGTTATTCTTATGTAGAATATTGTAAAATGTTGTAGTTTGCTTATATATGGATATATTTAGATCAAACTTGGCAAATTTATTTATTTTATATTAAGCTATTAATATTTTACTAAATAATACACTTTATTAGTTTCTTTGTAGCAGTATACCGAGGTACTTGTTTAGCCTAATTTTATTTAAATACATTTAATTGAAAATCAATCCAGACAAATGGAAAATTGCTTAGTCTGTTAACTGCGGTGGGGGTATTTTATTTTTGTTGTTGTAGAATAGCCTGGGTAGATGAATAGTTAGTATTTCACAAACTTTCTAAAATGCTGAAGATACATGAATTTGTTCTATGAAAAAAAAACAATTTAACAAACTTTGATGATTCAAAACTTGACCTTGATCATTGTTTAAAAGATTCCAAGTTTTATGTCATCCAAACAAAAGCTGTTCTTAATTATTTGCAGTGTTGGGAAGTAGCGCGCTACAAGTAGCGACGCTACAGTAGCGCGCTACTTTTTTTGTAGCGTTAGCTGTAGCTACGCTACTTTTAAGATTTTGTAGCTTTAGCTGTAGCTAGCTACATTTTTAAAGTAGTTGTAGCGGAATTTTAGCTACTTTTCTCGCTACATTAACATTGTTTGAGATAGTGATTTTTATCATAACCTCACTTTACGTGAAACAACCTCTTTCAAACTGAGATTTTAAAAAAATTAAGCCTACTTTCTTGGCTTCATACAGCTGGTTGCAGCCGTTTCATTCCCTATTACAACGTTGTGTGGACATGGAGGCCATTAAATGAGTGTTATCCACATTTTTGGCTCTCATTTCCTTAATTTACTACTCTATGATTACTGTCAGATAAAATAAAATCGCTAGTTGCAGACGACGTTTAAACGTTACCGGTGACAAGAGAAGCTATTGAATGCTTGCAAGTGATTGACAGGGAAATTAGTAATCAAATTATAGTTTCTTTATTATATTGATAGTGTTTCAACTTGGGTTTTAATGGAAACCAACACTAAACCTTAAAATAATGAGAAAGCTGGTCTAGCTTCTCAGCTGTTGATTGTGGTTCATCATCACAAGCCCTTCCTTGGTTAGATTAGAAGATTTTTCAAAGGTTTACTAAATTAACAAACAGGAAATTACCTGATGAGAATTAAGATATGCCTAGACTACATGATAATTGTAACGAACAAATCTCCATAGGTAACATGAAACTTAGATTGAAAAAATAGCATAGTTTACTCCTGCTAACAGCTCTTTTATAGGACTATTCCTAGGCTATTCTATGATTTAAGACGAATACCAAGTTCCAAGTTCAATTATTAGGAATATATCTGTTTAGTCCGTGCAAGAACAAGCCTACTACTATAGCCAACTTGTTACATAGCCAAGTAGGCCTACATGTTATTTTTACTTTAAAAATTTCAACATGTTTAAATCAAAAGCCGATTTCAGGATAAATTGCTGAATACTGTTTTCTGTACCAATTAGGTTGAAGCACAATTTGC